CGAAAAAGGCGGGTGCATAGCGCCTTCGGGTTACGCAGTGAATTTGAGACATTGCGGCAGTCTTAGGCATACGGTATGCGAACACAGCACACTTGTGATTCAGCCCTGGCGGCAGCACGTCGCTGAGAGGAACTAATATGTGATTGTCGCTGAATCATCACTCACCACGAAGCAGTTTGATTCCGTGTTTCTACCGCGCACAACACACTTGAAACCTTGAGAATCACCGCAGAAACTCGTGGATGATGCGTGGACAAAACGCACACTGGTCACAGCTGCTCGTCCGATGGTTTGTCACACAACGTTCAGTCATGCGTGCGGAAGGTTCACTACCATGCGAGCACATCACACACTTCACCTGCACTGTTAAATCTCGGCAGAACCGAACAGAGGATACACACAATTTGATACGCTTTCGTTCCACACATGCACAAAATTTTAAGACCTTATCGAACATTTCAAACCAAAAAAAGCGGGATTGCGGGAGAACATAGGTCATACTGGCAGCAACACTGAATTACCCTCGCGTGCCATCTCCTTCCTGGCCTCATTTGAAAACAAAATCAACAAGATAAAACAAGTGTACAAGCCAAAGCAAAACAATATAAAAAACTTAAACTTCGACAGAAGGTCTTTACTAAAGTAACATGCACAATGACCGAGTAGAAATGATAGAACATAAAGTGACATACAACATTGCGGACTCTTATGACCCTAGCCGATCCCCGAGCGCTCAGCGTCTACCGTATGCAGACCTCTTCCCCGACTCCGTGTCCCGGACCCTCGTTAGATGGTCCGAACTTCCGCCTACTCAACTCAGTCACGGAGTGGGGCATATGCGAAGCTATTTTATAGGACCACCGCTGCGCATGCCCGGGTTTGGTGCGGTGTACATTGAGTGTGCTGAAGTTTCCCTCTGGCCCCACAAAAACTACCCCGTTGCGATCTAGGCATTCCTCAATCTCATCCACTCTCTCTAACGTTCGGTCTACCACCGTGTCGACCAAGACTCCGACAACTGCATCCTTAGAAAACCCATTCTCATTCAACTCCATATCTGCAACTCCATCTGGTAATGCCTCATCGTCTCGTGGGAACTTCGATATAGAAACCGCAGCTAAGCCGTCTGTATCCGCTCTAGCAACCTTGATAACTTTTGTTTCACCCAGTGGCGCCGGCGTGTGAGCGTTCCCCCCGAACACACACTCGCTCAGTGGCGGAACATCCTCCTCGATCACGGAAATTACCTTAACCACATCCACACACCGTGAACCGCGACTCGTTCTTACGGAGCTTGTTTCCTTGCGAATATTTACGACCGCGATTGACCTCTGCACGTCAACGTCATGCGGAAGAGTTGCGTCTAGGTTTCCAGATTCGAATTTTCCCACCATCTCATTGCCTTTGTGAATGCGGCTGCCACCCGTCGAATTCCACTTTCGTCGTCGGTACCGGTGGCATTCTCGCCGAATGAGACCAACACTGCCACAGTTATAGCACCCGCCGGGATAAGGGAGTCACTTCGGGAATTCCTGCCAATTGTGTTTCACCTTAATGCGTACTGCCAAGCTCTCCACAAGTTTTTCGAGGCGGTCAAGGCGACAATGCATCTCATGAATATCCGTGTTCTCTTCTGCGTAACGAACGGGTAACGTATGGCTCCACGACACTTTGTCATTCTGTTCCTCCTTGACCGCTATGGCAATGGCCTCGTCAAATGTTTTTGGAGAGAACAAATCTGCGGACCGGATCCCTCAGGCCTAATAAAAATTTCGAGTGTAATTGTTTGGCTAGAATTTCGCGGCGCAATGAAGCTTTCACCGGATCCTGACTATCGGAGCTCGCCAGGGTGGAGGTCCCGAGGATGCGCAAGCAACTTGCAAATGGCCTCACCTCCTCATCTGCCTTCTGCCTCGCGTTTAAAAACCGTTCCGTTTTAAAGATAAGTGGCTCCGTATCAAACCTCTTGAGGGCCAAATATTTGAACTCAGAAAAGGTTGCAGCCGCAGCGACGCCATCATCCCACCACGCAAAATCGTGCGCCGCGCCTACCATCTTGCATCGTGCTATGCAGACCAGCTCATTATCCCGCCATCCACCCAAGCGACCAACCTGCTCCAAAATTTTCAAGAAGACCCCAATATCCGACCCGTATCACCTCCCGTAAAGGATGGAATCATGCCCGCTAACAATAGCGCGCTCATTTCTAGTGGGTCGTCTCTGTCGGTCATCTTGGTAGCCTGTTCGTTTATTTTGTCGCCTCTCCTTCTCTAGTACGAGGGTGGAATCTCGCACCGCTGCCCCAGCAGTAATCCCACCGCTGCCACCACTTGAGACGTCCCCCGCTACGCCACTGATTGCCAAAGAGAAGAAAGGACACTCAACCCTTTTTCTACCCGGTTCCCTCTTGGCTACGTGTCTCAATCACTTCTCACATACAGGGATTCACACTGGGGCCGGGAAGCAAGAGACGCTACGACCTGTCTCTGTTTACTGACTCATTCAATTTATTACTAACTGCAAATATCGTATACCCGCGTACATCAACCACTACACAATATTATAACACATGATTTAGACACTCGCGACATTTGACACAGGATACATAAGGAAAATAGCTTTGACAATAAAGTGGTGCGACGATACAAAGTAAACGCATGACGACACAAAAACGATGGAGCTATCAGTTACTAAAACCCGCAATGTCTCAACACGCCACCTCTCTTCCCGCAAAGCTAATCTACATAAGGTGCATAAAGTCCGTCTCACGAAAGGTCCATGTTGACGGGGGCCTCGGAGCTGGCTGTTCGAGTCGCGGCTCAGGGCTTCTTGCAGGGGTCATTGTCCAATTCGTCAGCGTCGTCATCGTCTTCGTCATCGTCGCCTTCGTCGTGCCTCTCAGTGATTTCCATCTTAGCCTTCTCTCGTAACGTTCCATTCACTCGCCTCCTATCCCTAACTTTTATTCTTCATCATACCGTCCATTCCCCAGTCATCATCTCATCGCGTCTCATCGTTATCTCGTCGCACTGTTATATTCTTTTTCCATTCGGTCTCTCTACCATTTCGAGCTCATCGCATCGTATATCTCTGACTCCCCTCGTATCGTCTCGTAGTCCCTTTTTGTAGGACCCAACACCACCCTACCGGGGCCGCAAATCAATCGCCACTATCGACGCGGCATATTTTCTTGTCAGTCGAAGTGTACATCTTCGACGGCCGCCCCAACGGCTCACGCCAGTAGAAAAGCCTCTCCCAAACAAAGGCGAGCAAGTAACAATGTACAAACTCAAGCCTCCGAGAGAGAGATGGGCGAGCTGTCCCAAGACACTTTAATTACGGGCGAACAATGGTCCCGATGCTTCCGACAAAGTGCGTCGTCTGTAATGGCCAATGTCCGGAGTTTGCAGTGTTGTGCCGAAAAGTTTTCAGCCGAACCGACCCCGGTTTCTGGTACTTGAAGAGCCGATGTCCAGAACGAGTCTCAACGTTTCCATGCAGCTCGGTGTCTCCCGCGAAATTCTCCGTAGCCGCCGCTTCTTCGTCATTCAACGCCGCGGGTGTTCTTCATCCGCGCAGAACGCAGTAATGAGCCCTGGAGCCATGGAGGCTGACGAAAAGTCAGGTTGGACCAGCACAGGCGCTGCGGCAGGGTCGCGATCCCCGAACTAACAAAAGCTGCTCTGCTGCTCCCCCATGCCACAAATACGAAGGGTGCGCGCGGATTATTTCCACCACACACTGTCACACTGGCTGTAAACCACAAGGCGCCGCCCGGTCCTCGTGTTTGCGCGGGCGGGGGGGGGGGCGTGAGAACAGTAGAAATAATCCTTCCATGTACTCCACTCCGGCATACCCATTCGTTACACCGAAGGTTTTCTTTTCCTTTTTTTTATGCGTGGGTTTGAGAAACGAGTGAAAACATCCTGAAAGGAGCAGGGTTCAGTCCGTGTTTGCGGGGACATCACATTTACAAGATATGATGAATGTGAGAGTCCAGGGATCTGGCAGATCCCCGCTCGTGCCAAGCTCGTTCTGCTCTTCTTCCATGCTTCCCCTCAGTGTCGTAACAATATATATATATAATACGCGCAACATATACATATATATGTATCGATTCTCTCTATCTATTCGTTCCTTTCTATATAAATGCTAATGGGCATTTACCACACACTTCAGAAACCCGTGACGAAGGCTAAACGAACAGGTCTTTTATATCTCTCAGAGTGGTCTTGTTAGTAGGGCGTCTGAAATCAGAGGAGTCATGTCATGAGAGGCTTCCGCGTGGAGCTCTGGCTCAAGCTTACGCGCTGTCGCTACCGTCCCTATGTGAGCGTTTCCAAGAGAAGTACAATTTTGTCGACGTTTTATTACGCCGCGAGAAGGTGCATGCTACCCAATCCTTGTTTATAACATTCATCCATATTTAAACATAGCTCTTCGACGCTCGCCTTGTCGTAAATCACAACGGGGCTGGAGAGAACACAGAACGTACGTTGCGTTTCTTTTCGCGTTTCAGGACACTTTGAAGAAGTTCATACCGAGGACTAGTGTTAATTATGTGCTAGTGGATGCCATATCAGCATGATATATGTGGTTTCCAAGGACATGTTAACTATATCCGCTGCCACAGAGGTTTAATTATTATCAAGTGCGTTAGCCATCGCGGCGCAGGTGCACTGCTAGGCGTCAGCCTGAGTGAGTCAACCTCAAGCGGTGATATATCTCTCAAGTGTCCATAGAAATTATTCTAGCTCTCCGATATAATTGCACTATAAATGACCAACTACAATGCAGGCACGTTTCACTTTCGATTTGTACCTATTACTATGAAGGAAGGGTCAGTCATGTGTTTTTTGTTTCGCCGCAGTGCGCCTTTCGAGTTTATTGTCAACGTTGATCTTCTCTGGTTTTCCATGCTTTTGCGCATCTTCAATTTCATTATTATAGATGAATATGGTCTTGGAAGTTTTGTAACGTTGCATTCTTGCGATGCGCAGGCGTCTACTAGGCCATGCTGCCGTGCAGCTCATCTACCTGGTTGCGATAGGATTGGCGCTGGCTGTCATCTCTAGGCAGGTAAGTCGTCGATGGAATGTTTTTTTTTCGATTCCTAAATTACCTCAAAGACGTAAAAAAGTGGAGACCCCGTAAACGTGGTGCACATTTCAATACTTTCTGACTGGACATTCAGAAACACCAGCGCTTCTCGATAACAGCGTCCAGTGTAGGCCTGTACTGAATGCATACAAGGGCGCTTGACCATAGCTGCTGGATGGTGGAACACGGAATCGCGGTAGAGCGTTGAATCCGTGGTGCCCAACTGTGATGCACAAGAGTATGAGTAGATAAAGCGATAATAAAGTCCATCACGTAATAAAAGAGCAAAATACAAAGCCTTCTCAAAAATTAAAAAAAAAATACATAGATGTGAGCGTGATCCTTTACTTGCCACTCATCTATTTCTTTTCGAACCCCCTAGTTCACTTCTTAGTTACCGAAGGCTATGAACGGCTACGGACGGCTATATAACAAAATATGCTCCAAAAAGAACACTACAAAAGATTCATACCAAAGGCAAATACGCGGAATATTATTAAAACAACAACAGGATCCAACTACAGAAGAGACAAAAAAATTCACGAGAAAAAAAAAAGCCCAGGCTCGCGCTTCTGAGCTTCGACATGCGACGCAGTGCACACAACTACAATTGTTAAAAAAAAGGCTGGTTAAATTAAAATAACAGTTTAAAAAAAGTCACAATAAAATGTTCCATACGAACCAGGCCAGCTCTCGATACACGTAGGCGAGTTGACGGGTGCCGCTGAAGATCTCGCCGGCTTGGTAGACGACGAGGGTGCCCGGAATCGCAGCCGTCTCAATACATTGCGCGGGTCACTCCATGCTCGCCGCCCACGAGAGACTCGCGACACCGACGACCGCCCTTCTTACTGGCTGTACGTCAACTGCCGATACCGAAGAAGTCAAAAATTTCTCGGGGCGTATGCGTGCTCCTTCATTCTCCGGAAGTCATTTCCCTTTTCTCGAACAAATGTGTGCCCCTTTCGGTACATGTGTAGGGAAGACGCGGCGGCACCGTGCTGGGTCTTTATTCGCCTGATGTCGTCCTCCCAACACAAAAGCACCTTTCCTTGGACGATGGGACACACGGGCGAAACGAAAATTGCAGTCGTTTGTGACATAGCCCCCTTCTACAAAAATATTGCCGCGTAATATTCAAGAAAATCACAAACGCGCACTGCTCGAGAGCTTGCAGTGTTCAGGTCGTCCACCGATGAGTTTTCTTTTTCGCGCACCGTTTCACTGATGTGGACGACATCACAGGGAACAAACGACACACTACACTTCACAGTCACTATACGATGAAAGTCATAACCTGCGCACTACGACAGGCTCACACACATACGAAAGGAAAATAACAAAAATACTGCACACTTCAAAGTGAAATAATGGAAGCCTTCTTTGATGTCACATATTTAAACATACACGCTTTAAGCGGTATAGAAAAGTCACTTAGTCACAAGTAGCTTTCGAAAAAGATGAACGAGCAAGGAATCAGCAAGATCGCCTGTGTCCAGTTCCTCAACTTGCTGCACACTAAAGCGCTTCATTTCAAAATAATAATAGAGAGGAAAGCCTTGAATATCATAGCGCCATGTTTATCCCATATGCGCACCGTGATATACTTCAATTGTAAGGCCAACCAGTATCTTAAAAAAAGCAAGTAAATCAAATAACGACGTCCCTAAAACAAAGCTTCCCTAAACGAACAGGTAATAAGTTGAAACAACAGAACATCGTCTACAAGCACACAGATGACGCAAAAAAAAACCACCGGAATAACTAAGCTGTTCGTCCCCCATTTATGGAATGCTCCGAAATCGAAAGACATAAATGAATATTGCTTCAAAAAATATCTCATTAGCCTTGAAGGTTATGTTTACTTTTCGACGTACATATACATAACTTTTATCCGCGCTTGAGGTGGCCACGCTCTGGGGGGAGCCGTTCGAAGCAACCAGTGCAGACAAAACAGTGGATGGGCGCTACACGGATGCCTGTTTGTCGTTAGTCTACACCCCGTAGACATGTCCTCATCGATGCCTCGTTCCACGAAAACGGGTCTCCGAGCCACGTCGTCTCGCTCGGCCGAAAGGCGCTGCTTCGCCATACACCCCGCGCTTCGAGGAGGACAATGGAGCGAAGGGGCTTGACTCTTCCAAGCTATACGAACAATTGATTCCCTGGTCCTTCTATGCGTCGGGTGGTTTGGAGCATAAGAACGCGCTCGACTCTCTAATGCCACAAAACACAAACGAAGTTTCCGTTCTGCTGTTTGCCGTTGAGTGATTATTGTTTTTCCGAGTTACCCTGCACCCTTCGTTTCCCTTCTGCCTTTGCGGCGTTTTTTTTTTCTTTTTGCACGTTGTCCAGTGCTCACTTTCGTGAAATCCACTTGCAACATTTGCAGAGCAGAACTTCTCTCGCCTGTCTCATCGGCTGTAATGTCAAAACAGTAGAGATTTTCGATAACTTGCGGACACCCTGACAAGCGGGAAACTGACTGACGGGTGAACAATGGAAGCGTCTTCTTCAGGGCTGCGCCGCTCGCACCTGGAAGAACTACTTGCCCCAAGATTGCCCAGCTCGCAGTGTGCGTCAGCGCACGAATCTGTCAAGCTGTCTGTACAGGCGTCCTCACCTGCCGGACCGGAGGTTCTACGAACTACACATGTAGTTAGCTGCCAAGGCGACGCACATACAGGGTGGCTGTGCCAAGTCCAGTACAGATGGCATTTCTGTATTAACAAGACCCTCCAGGCACAGCGCCTCGTCGCCACCACTGCGGTCTTCAGTGGCCTTTGTGTCCACAATGGGACTTTCAGCAGCTAACTCTTTAGGTTCACTCGTGAACCCGATGTTCGACTCATCAATAGTGTTATTTTGGCCGGCTCTCAGCAGTTTGGCATCTACGGACTCTTTGCCCTTTTTGTGCCTTGCATCCCATGTCTCAAGCGTGCGCCTTCTACTATCGGTTCTCTGACGCAGTAGCTGAACACGATCCAGGTACGACTGCTTGTTCGGGCCACGGTCGGTCACGCTAGTGGGCGTTCTAGCGGCTAAGCTGAGACCCGACTGCGTCGCACACAGTCCCAGGCGCTCTTTCTCTTTCTGAATTTGGAGCCGGGATTTTCCCGTTTCCTGCACCATTTCGAATTCCGCTAGTTGTCTGAAATCCGCGCGTTCCACATCATGCTCCTCTTTACGCTTACTGCGCTCTCTTTCCAAGAAATCGTACAATTTTCTGCTTTCGAGACCAAAACCCCTGCCCTGTTCAATCAGCTTATCAAGCTTCGTGCTGTTCATTGATAAAAATAGTTGTCTACCAACAAAACAATAAAGGGACGCCTACATACTGCACGCTCAGAGTTACGTCAGTCTCCCAGACATTATCACTTGGTCGGCCAGTCCTGTCATGGACGCCAGATAATGTAACACTTTTCGGGTGAGGCCCCGCCGATTTGAATTCGACGTGCGACAAACTCGCAGGCTTCCACTTGTGGGAATCGAGAGCGCCCTCCTACCTGGCGCCTTATTCCCCAGCTGCCACACGCGCGCCACCAGCGTAGCCCGGGTGCGCATAAGCACCGGTATCCGCCAAGATGGCTGACAGGACGCCTTTTGGTCTGGGCCAGTCAACCACCGGCTTCTTTCCGCACTGGCATATCCGGCACGCTACGCGGGTGCGCTGCGCGGGCCTACGTCACAACGCAGCGCCATTTCCCAGTGGGCGCGCGTGACATCCTCCTCTCCTACGAGCTGTGTTGCGCCCGACGATTCGCTCGTCGCGGCAGGTGCTCTCAGGCCTCCACAAGAGGTTGACACGCTGCTTAGCAGGCGGCTTTTCGTTCGAGCGTTCGACTTCGGCCCTTGTGCGGGAGTCGTAGCGCCCTGGACAATCGTACTTGCTCGGTCTGGCGGAGTTCCCTATACGGCCTGCAAGCCCATGAGTGTCGCACTGTTCTGCATCTTGGGTTAATAAGCCCGTTGTTATAGATATCCTGCCTCGTGCGTAGTTTCTGCACCGTGCCGGAGAAAACAACGAACCCGGCCGCAACATCTTCGCACGCAGCGGCAGTGAAGCACGTCGCATCCCTACACGGTTGCGCATAGTCGGTAAGCCTTGTGCAAACCTATCCCCACATAACTGGCGCCCAACTTGGTTTCGGCATGGCTTCAGAGCAGACCCCTTCGAGGCGCTCGTTCCTGTTCGATCCTGTGGCGATGGACTTGATCTCGTTCGAGGCGGACGGCTGCAACAGCACGGGGTACGGCCCTCTCGGCGACCATCAGCTTTCGTTAACCGGGAGAGATCCCTTTTTCGGGGCCCCCTACGGTGATGCGAGTCGCTTGAACGAGGACCACAGTCGTAGCCAAGCCAGTAACGGGCTGTATCAGCTGTTCGAGACTCACGCGCTTACGGGCCCGTCCCCGGCGCAGTCTCCGCTCGCTGACCTTTCCCCGTCAGCAGCACCGTTGACAGCTCAAATAGTCGCACCCAGTCCTTCCTACCGGGGGCACTCAGGTGTTGGCGGGAATGCGCTTACTGACCCGTCGTGGTCGCGAGCGCAAAGGGTTGACGATGTCGTTTGCAAGCCTGCTCGCTTAACCGAGAACGTCATCACGTTCACCGACGCTCGCTGGCCTGAGAGTCGCGTGGGCGACGCTTTCGATAGACGTGGGCCACCCAACTCCACTGTCGACCCGTTTGCCAGTCGCGTGAGGCCTCAAGCACCAGTCGGAGCGCAAACCCTACCCTCCTCCATGCCGTTTACTGGCCCTTTTCGGTCGGACGCGCATGTTGGGGAACAGGTGTGCGCACCTGTTACGGCCGCGCCCGCCTCGAAGCAATCACCGCTGCACGCAACTGTGGCGAAGCTCCTAAACGTTCTCTTGGAAGCGGTGCGCTCGCAGCCTTGTGCTTTAAAGGGAGACCCCGAGTCCCCTCAGCTAAGCATTACGAGTAGCCTAAGGGTACCTCTGCCTTAGTACAGCGG